GGGCTGACATTCCTCATACAAATTGTTAGATCACATTTGCCAGGACCTGTGGTTTCCACCAATACCACTCCCTGAGCTCCAGGACTGTGAGAAGATGGGGGGGAGAAAGTCGCTTTCTCAACAAAAAAGGACATGCCTTAAACTTTGAGTTATAACACTTATCCATTGTGTGTGAAATCTGCAAAAGGTTATCTTAAAGCTAAAATGCAAGTGTAAATGTCTTGGTTATCTGTTAAACTAATTAAAAAATTTTCTCCTTAGCAGGAGTAACTTTACATATAAGAAGAATACTGCATAGCTTGGTAAAGAAAATAATAAATTGTGTAAAGTTTTTACTTGTCATAAAAATTGTATAAAAGAAGAAATTTAAAAATTTTTAAAGAAATAAATATTTCACAATATATTATTATTTCACAATATATATAAAATTATATAAAAGAAATGGCATTAATTACACTAAGGCCACATTAAAAAACTATATAGTTAATAATTTTGTTACTATTGTTAATCGGGGCCCTCCCAAAAATTATTCTAAAGGTATAAATGCAACTATTTGTAATTATGTAAACAATACTATTTGGAATTATACAGAATCTTTTTTTTTTTTAATCCAGAATCTTTTTATTGGGCTAACACTCCATCTTTGGTTCCCCTGAACAGTGAGACTTGTAAAAATTGCTTGCAGCTACACAGCCAGAGGTCAGATAAGGCCATACTGTTTACTCAATTGTGTTCTAGAAAGAACATGGAAAGTTAAAATTTTCATCGCTAGAAGTTATCTTTGGTTAATCCTGTTTCTAAGATGGCTAAATAAATAAATAAAATCATAATAATGAAAATAAATGCAATAAATGTGAGTTTAAACTCAGCAGGTAAAAGGCCTCTTAAACCTCTCTGGAAGAAACCATGTTCCTAGATCCAAGTGGCTGACAGAAAGGCAAGGTGGCTGATAGGGTCTGGCCCTGTCCTGGCTTAAATCAGTCAAGAGCCTGAGGCCATATTTCATGTCAATCAAAGTGTTTAAGTAAAAATTAAAATAAAATAAAATAAAATTTGTTTTTTTTAATTGAAATTTAAAATCTGGCTTTACTAGGTTTATACTGTTTTATGATAATGACTGTTATTAAAACAGTAATTGATAAAAATGATAATTTTGTAAGTCTATTTGCTTTCAGCCATCAATTTGAATCTTTAAAATGGGTATAGGCCATACCTGTAAAGAAGGCTCTGTGGGGAAACAGATCTATGTGCATATATTTATAGGGTTAGTATTAAAGGAGCAGATGGCCACTGGGCCTCTTCTCAAGTACTCCCTCAATGCAAGAGCACTTTGTTCTATTAACCTGACATTCCATGATGCTCACCTGCCTGACACCCTGACATGTTCTCTGAAGACCAAGTGGCTGCAGAAGCAAATGTGGTGAAAAAAGCTGATGGTGCCCGGCTATCAAAAGATATAGTGTCTTGGGTCCTAAAGGCTTGAAGATAAACAAGCGGCCATCTAGCTGAGAAGCAACAAAGCCCACACCAGGCTGTGTGGTCATGAGGCGATGATAGGATCAGGTATCAGGCATCAAAGACCCAGAACAAAAAAATCATATTGTGAATGAGGGAGAGTGCAGAGGAGTGGAGACCCAAAGCCCATCTGTCGACAATTGGACATCCCCTTACAGAAAGGTCTCAGGGAGGAGACGAGCCAGTCAGGGTGCAGTATAGCATCAATGAAACATACAACATTCCTCTAGTTCTGTAATGCTCCCCCCCCCACTATCATGACCCCAATTCTACCTTATAAATCTGGCTAGACCTGAGCATGTACAGATAACACAGGGAATCCAGGACAGATAAACCCCTCAGAATCAATCTTGAGAGTAGCCATACCAAGAGAGTAAGGGGAAGGTGGGGGGAGAAAGAGGGAACCAATCACAATTATTTCCCTATAACCTCCTCCCAGGGGGATGGACAACAGAAAAGTGGGTGAAGGGAGACATCGGTCAGTGTAAGACATGAAAAAACAATAATTTATCAATTATGAAGGGTTCATGAGGGAGGAAGGGGAAAAATGAGCCTATACCAAGGGCTCAAATAAAAAGCAAATGTTTTGAGAATGATGAGGACAACAAATGTACAAATGCGCTTGACACAATGGATGGATGGATGGATTGTGATACGTTGTACAAGCCCCCAATAAAATGATTTTTTTTTTAAAAGGCGGCTCTGAAAAGGTAAGCCTCATTCAGTGCTTTGAGTGCTCTGGACATTTGCAGACACTGGTGAAGATTACTGTTGGCAGAAGAAAAAGGAACCCTTCTCGTTTCTTTAAACTTTCAACTATTAGTTTATGCCCAAGGCTGGGGGAAAAATTAAAGCCATGAAGAAACTCGCCTAAGACTAAACATGAAAAAAAAGCCTCTGAGCAGCCTGACATGCTGGCTAGGTGACCACCACTTGTGTGGAGCTGGGAAAATGCAGTAATAAGAAAACGAGCTCAGTCTGGTCACTAACCCCCAAGAACCTAGTTCACAGGAACTAAAGAAGATGAGAGCGGGTTGGCTGAAGCTCATGGCCTAGCCCAAGGGGGCTGAAATTGTTAAAAGAAAAAATTGTGACTGGACCCATGGTCAAAGGGAAGGCACCCAATGGGCACCCTGGTGGAGCCAAGTGAGGCAGCCTACATTAAGTTAACCAAAACCTGATCAGATGAAAAGACGCTATTTAAGCCTGTGAACTGGCGCATATTGCTGCTGACTTTATGGACGACCTGTCCTCATTTGACTTTGCTTATGGATGCCGACTCACAAGGTTGCAATTGAAATAAAGATTCTTCACATCAAAAAACTTGCTTGTCTTCTCAAAGCACTAAGTTAATATACATAAGTAGGCAGTACAAAATTGGATACCCAAAATTGAGGGAATAAAGGCATAACGTAACTGGCTGACAAACTTTTATAGATAAAGACATAAAACATTGTTATTTAAAATAACTTACTTATAAAATATTACATTTAAATAAAGCTGGTACATTTCAAACTGTATGTATTTTAGTTTTATTTTGTTAGAACTATTGTCCTTGTTTTGAAAATTGCATGTGACAAAAAGTGTGTAAAGGTGTCATGTTAATCTGACACCGAGCTCTTGACTGTTCCCATGACACCTGCAGGCAAAGATTTATAATCATAATTTGCGTCAGTCCCTGCAAACCTGACAGATTGTCCAGCACCGACTCCACAACTTCTTGTGGAAGGCAGGGCCCCAGCCACGAGCAAGCAGCCTCTCTGTGCACCCATTCCAGCCCGGTGACTGTGTCGTCATGAAGTGGTTCATGTCCACCAGGCTTACACCACGTTGATAAAGGTCCTTTACCATCATGCTGACAGCTCCGACCACGGTCAAGGTGAACGGACTTGTTGCCTGAGCTCACCACTCACATCACAAGGTTGCCCTGCCTGACGCAGAATGAAAGGTAGTGTTATCACAGTCTAGGTTTTCCGCAAATTGTAATTAAACTATTAAAACGTGTTACAATAGGTCATAAATGTATTGTAAGGCTTTCCTGGCAACTGTGGTTTTCTTGCTCCTTTGGCCTTACCCCCTCCCTGCTTGTCTCCTTGTCTGTTTAACAACTAGGTGTTGCAGGGTCTGCAGCCACAGCTATCTCTGCCCGCCTCACCCAGAGTCATGGCTTGAAAGGCCTCTCTAGAGGGTAATGAATGTACAAATGCGCTTTACCCAATTGATGTGTGTATGGATTGTGATAAGAGTTGTATGAGCCCCTAATAAAATGATTGTTAAAAAACGCCTCTCTAATATAATTAATGTAACTATTAACAGATTAAAAGCCATCATTTTAAAATTGTCAGGACAATTCATTAAGAAAGTTCATCCAAAACCATATAGAAGTTGTTAAATGTATGATATTGAAAACCCAGTATACTAACCTACATGCAAAAGAAGTTACTGATGAATCAACGATTTAATTCCCAAATAGAGTAAGGAAGCGGCAGATTAGCAAAGCAAACTCATTCTTTTAACTGGTAAATGACCTGCCTCCTTCCCCCTCCCATCTCGGAAAGTCCCACTAGTAATTGATTTTAGAATGTATTCTCATGTAACCAGGTTCTGGACGCTACAATTGGTTTAGACTACTCTTCAATGTATCATTTGTTTTAATATTGTTCCTTTTAATGTATAATCTATATGGCGTGATCTTGTTATGGTAACCAGGATGTTCTATTTTGGTATTGTTTCACTTATGATAAGGAATGTCAATTTTGGTATTGTTTCACTTATGATAAGGAATGTACCTGGTAATGCGGCTTGCTCTTCTTGACGTTACCAGTGTTATAATCAATGCTGTATCCTGTAACGCTTCCTATCCTAAAGAATAGTGACATTAATTTTGCTTTCTGCTTCTGTCCACGCTTGCTTAAGTCTTAAACAAAGGATAAATGAGTTTTGAGCCTTTAAAGATGAACTAAAATGTGGACTCGGGACTGCAATCAAAGAATCGCTTTTAGATTCCAGCAATCCGGTTATAACCGAATAAAGACTCTTCTAAATTATCAAGACATTGCAGTGACTGCCGTTTATTCGAACCCGCAACTCTCTCCTCCCCCAGACCCTGCTCTGAGCCTCAACCTGAGCTCCAGAGGAGGCTCATCAGTCGGTGTTCCCAGAATGAAACCAGGGAACGAAGTCTTGCCAACCACAGGCCAAAAGTAGTCTAGGCGCTGCTTCCTCTTCAGATATTCCCATCCCCACCTATCCAGCCAAGGTCACGGACCGGTCGGGGCGAACTTGTCCCGGGGATGAAGAGGAACATCCCCACGGACCACCCAGGGGTTTGAGGTAGGGGCGGGTAGCTAGGCTGCGGAGACCCACTGCCAACAGGGCACACTTCCGGTCGCCGCGGAACGGAGTTCTCGCCGGAACCTTCCTGCCGATTTCCGCCCGAGCGCTTTTGGGCGGCACACCGGGACCGGAAGTTGGCAGAGGGGGAAGGGCGGCCAGAGCTCCCTGATGTAGCTGGGAACATGAGCTTCTCTAGACTTCTCTTGGAGGGAGGTAGGATGCCTGGGACTCAGGGTTCACTTCCCTGCCTACCCTCAGCCCCTGATTCTGGACCGATTTCCCCGTTACGTGCTGCTCCCCCGCTCGGAGCCGTCGCTGAGCTGACGCGGCGGCTTCGGGCCCCGAGCTCGGGGAGTTGGGCTTGCTTGGCTTGTGATTGAGGGGCCAGGGCGACTTCCATGTAGTTTTCCAAACCTGCCGCTCGTATGGCTCTTCTCCTTGCAAAAAACATGCTTTTGGTAGAACTTGAGAAAAGTGGTCGGAAGAAAATCAGAAACACCCTCCCATCTTCCACTCACGTGGCAACGTTCTAGAGCAGAGGTTCTCCACCTTCCTCAGGCCGCGACCCTCCATACAGTTCCTCATGTCGTGGCGACCCCCAACCATAACACTGTTTATATTGCTATGTCATCACTGCCATTTTGCTACTGTTATGAATCGGGCGACCCCTGTGAAAGGGTGGTTCGACCCCCAAAGGGGTCGCCACCCACAGGTTGAGAACCGCTGGTCTAGACGTTCCTCATAAACAAACTTTCATTGTATCTGGTCCCACCAGAAGAGAGGGAAACCGTAGTGAAAAAGAAAATAAAGGTAGAAGACAAGTACCCCTCATGGGATAGTAATTTCAAAAAGAACCCTCTAAAGTTCAAAATGCTATCTAAAATGCTAATCGGTTGAAAGCTTTTTTTAAGTGCTTCTAAATAGGAATAAAATAAAGTTTCCAGATAGTAAATTGTAGGATTGGTCCATACAAATCAAAAGATGCCTCTAGTAATCAAGCCCAAACCCTTCTATTTTAAAAATAGCTTTGAGATTAACCCTTTTTTTAAATAGCTCTTATAACAATGCATACATCAATTGTATCAAGCACATTTGTAAATATGTTGCCATCATTACTTTCAAAACATTTTCTATTTCAGCCCTTGGCATCAGCTCTTTTTTCCTACCCTTCCACCCTTGTGACCCCCTCGATAAATTATAAATTATTATTTTCATATCTTATATCATCCAGTCTCCCTTCACCCACATTTCTGTTGTTCATGGAGGGCTGGGAGGGGTGTTATATGTCAATCATTGTAATTGGTTTTATTTCCCTTGGCCCCTATCTCCCCCCTACCCTCAGGGTATTGCTACTCCCATTGTTGTTCCTGGGGAGTTTATCTGTCCTAGATCCTGTGTACTGAGAGATCTATCTACCAGTGTACATGCTCTGGTCTAGCTGGATTTGTAAGGTAGAACTAGGGTCATGATCGTTGGAGGAGGAAGCATTAAAGAACCAGAGGAAAGTTATGTGTTTAGTTGGTGCTATACTGCACCCTTGCTGCTCATCCGTTCCTTGTGACCCTTCTGTGAGGGGATGTCCAATTGTTTACAGATGGACTTTAGTTCTCCCCTCCACCCCTTCTTGTTCACATCAACATGATTGTTTTGGGTTTTCTGATACCTGATCCAGTCGACACCTCGTGATCACACAGGCTGTTGTGCTTCTCCCACGTGGGCTTTGTTGCTTCCCTGCTAGATGGCCACTTGTATAATTTCAAGCCTAAGACCCCAGACGCTATATCTTTTGATAGCCAGGCACCATTAGCTTTCTTTACCACATTTGTTTATGCACCCATTTTTTCTTCAGTGATAGTGTTGGGAAGGTGAGCATCACAGAATGTCAGGTTATTAGAAGAAAGTGTTCTTGCGTTGAGGGAGGACTTGAGTAGAGGCCCTACTACCTCAATAGTTAACATATGTACATAGACCTATATCCCTATTGTTATATATTAATATATTTACATACGTGCATGCCTATATTCATACCTCTATAAATGTCTTTTGCCCTCTAGTTCTTTCTTTTTTTTTTTTTTTAAACATTTTATTAGGGGTGCATACAACTGTTATCGCAATCCATACACACATCAATTGTGTAAAGCGCATTTGTACATCATTCTCAAAACATTTTCTCTCCACTTACCCCCGACATTAGGTCCTCAGTTTTCCCCTCCCTCCCCGCTTCCCCCTCCCTCATGAGCCCTTGATAGTTTATAAACTGGTATTTTGTCATGCCCTCTAGTTCTTTCCTTTATTTCCTTTTACTTTCCTCCCATCCCACTATCATGTTCCACCTTCATTTGGCTCTTTGTACTTCCTCTTGGCTACCATTGCACTTGATCAAACCCTACCAGGCATTCTACACCCTCCTCGCCATCGATTTTAGATCTCTTGTTGTTCCCTTGTCTCTGGGTTTGTTGGCTCCACACTCCCTTTCCCCTACCTCCTCCTTTCCCCTACCCTCCCAGAACTGTCAGCCCTGTGATTTTCTTCTCTGGCTTGTGTATCCTGCCTACCTTAAATAGATAGACATGAAAAAGAAGAAGAAAAGGGCCTATAAATAGTTCCAGGTCTGTCGACTGACCCTTATGTATGTTTTCTGATTGAGTCTGATGAGGTGCCAAGCCCTGCCCTCTGAGCCTGAAGCCTATTTTTGAGATTTCTTGGGGACTTCATTGCTTGGAAACTAAACCTGTTTTAAAGATGCTTTTCCAGAATACGGCCCTCTTAAACGATAGGCAAATCTGCCCCTTGGCAAAGAGCGATGTCACTAATCCTAAAAGGAGTAAGACCTCTGAACTTGTATTTTGCCACCTTTTTCTTCTAGTGAGGTGGAGGTGCTCTCCAGCTCCAGTGCGGTCTTCCCTTTTCCAGGCCCTACATAATTCCTGCTGTTGGGCAAAATCTGCACCTCAGAAAAGGATTCCCAACGCCGCCCTTGGTGATGACAGGACGAAGGGACCTGCACACGCAGTCGACCTGCTCTTCTCTTCGGAGCAGCAAGCTTCCATCCTGCACGTGCTGAACACAGCATCCAACAAAGAACTGGAAGCTTTCAAGTTGCTTCGTGGAAGAAAGTCCAGCAATATCGTAGAGTACAGAGAGAAGTGTGGGCCGTTTCAGAATTTGGAGAGTTTGCTAAAGGTGCCCTTGTTCCAGTATAAAACCGCCGTTCAAGTGTGTAACGCCATTCTTTGTCCAGAGACTGGAAAGAAAAAAAGAAAAGTACAGGAAAACCGGCTCTTGGGAAAGCTCATCAAGCCCGACATCGGAAGAGAGAGACTGAAGGTAAACCACTTCTTAACATCTGTTACAAGATGTGTTTGTGAGGGATGTTGTGCCTGAGGGGAGTGGTGAGAAATTAAAATGCAGAGATGGATTATGTACATGAAGTTCAGATTCTATCCATGATTAGACATAGCAAATCATGATTCTGAGCAATTTATAACAACACAAGTATATCTAATTTTTTGATAAGTATGTTTGTTTGTTTTGTTTTTTTTGATAAGTATGTTTTTAAGAGAGTTAAAACAGGTCAACCTTTCCAGTAGAATTTAAAATTATTTCTGGCCCCCTCCTTTCCTTCTTTAAAAAAACTCCTAAAAAGTCCTTTTCATTGTTATCTTAAAGAACTAAGCATTAAAAACTCTCGGCTCATCAGTTCAGCATTAGGTCTTGTAGGAACTTTAGCCTGTGTAGCATTACTTGATAACATACAGTGCGCATCATTGTTTCTGGGCCTGTGGCTTTATGGGTTGGTAGCTTTGGGGAAATATGGACAGTTTTTAAAACATTTGGGAAGCTCTTCTCAGGAAAAAAGCTTACCCCACATACACTGAATTTTGCATATAGTTTCAGAGGATTTGTATATTCCTGTACGTCCAACCATAGACTCTAACTATAAACTCCTGCCATAGCTGATATCGAACATACATGAACCAAAATTTCCAGGGATGATTTCCATCCAAATTCATAACTATATTTAGATGACATAGTGACTACTGCTTTATACTTAGATTATAGTGGTAGTGTATCTTCGTTAGGGGGCTGTGTTCTAAAGTCAATTTGTGTGGAGAAAAGTACATATTTCCAAATCCTTAGAAAAATATATCTGTTGCTCATGAAGTACTAAGACACATGGTTCTGGGTACAACCTTTTAAAGCAGCGGTACTCAACCTGTGGGTTGCGACCCCTTTGGGAGTCAAACGACAGTTTCACAGGGGTCGGGTAAGACCATCGGAAGACACGTATTTCCAATGGTCTTAGGAATCAAGACACCGCTCCTTAATCTGTCTCCAGGTGGGTCCGCCCACATGCAGATACGCCCACATAAGTGTACCCGGTGTGAAGACTGTTAACCATGCTACACCATGCTTCAAGACAAAATTTCATTTATTTGTCATTAGAAATAAATATTTCACAATATGTAATTACGTACTGTTTTTGTGATTCATCACTATGCTTTAATTAAGTTTAATTATGTTCAATTTGTAACAATGAAAATACATCCTGCATATCAGGTATTTAC